TGCCCCACATGGCTCTGGAGGAGAGGAGAGGAGAGGAGAGGAGAGGAGAGGAGAGAAAAGAGGGAGAAGATGGGAAAGGATGTTGTAGCAAGTAGTTTTATAAAGGAAAAAGTTATTTGTATACCACAAATTTCATTTACACTAACAAGGGTGCAACTGAATCTTAGGGAAAAGCCTGTCCAAGTTGTTAATGCAGATGGAAATGGCACTGTAAATATGGTATGTTAGTTGCATTTATGCTAGAATTTGGCTTTTTATATCTCTTAAACTACATCAATTAACAGCAGAGGCACAGTTACAGGGACAATTATTTAGTTTAAAGTACAAAGGCTTAATTATTTAATCTAAAAAATATTTTCCCAATGTCTTCATTGCATTCATGTCACCCCTGGGCAAGGCTCTCAGTGGAAAGATTCCCAATAAACATGCAAGTGGTGCAGAGAACAATTTCTGTCGGCTCCAACAAATTACATAAGTGCATTTCAAATTGCTAAGCACACAAATTGCATGATTAATTACAGTATTTTGAGTTGCAAATAATTTTGGATTAATTTCTAATGCTAAAAAATCCAAGTAAAGAATTTTACTCTCTTTTGTTCGTTTAAGTGTAGAGCTAGAACAAAGGATTTTGTGGACATTCTTATCTTAAATATGTAAGATTAGTATCAATCACAAAAAAACACCCAACTGCTCCAGTAGGACACCTCTGTAATCAAGGATAGCAGGATCAGTCCCATAAATGTTTTGTTGGCAATTAAATTTTTAATTTTTCTATAGGTGCTTTTTAGAGAAAATTATAGATTATGTGAGTTAGTAAATTCTAAAACACTAAGTTTGTTTTTGCTTTCCAAACAGGGCACACTACTGGACCAAGCTTAAATAATGACAAGCTATATAAATTTGCTTACTCAGCTGACGTGTATGTTGATCAGGTGAAAGCATCACTGCAGAAAAGTGCAGGCTACCGGATTTCTTCTGGTGTGGATGTCAACCTCTTATGGAGAAATCCCGACAATGATGATGACCAGTTGATCAAAATTATGGTAATTAATGCCATCAGACAACTTAAAACATGCCAATCTTTTCTGCATTTATCTAACTGCTAATCTAATCTTGAAGAACTTGTTTTCAGAAGATGAACTAAATCTTCCATTCTTCTCTAGTCTCATCAACTAAAACCACCATCTTCAATAAACTGATTCCTGTAGAATAAGACTTCACAAGAATATATCTAACATCATAAGCCAGAACTTCAGAATATCTCCTATATTTTGAAATTGCTTCATACAGCTTCTATAGCTTCAAACAACTGGTGTGCAAGCACCTACTTAAGGGGCAATAGTTCTTGGTTCTAGCTGCAAATCATAGCATTTGCTAAATACAAACTGGGTTTGGTACTTAGCTTTACAGTAAGTTTTTCCTGCCATTTATTTCCCCAGTGGGGAGTGCTGGTTTCTTTTGAAAACATAGACATAATAATCACGGAAGATTAATGATCAGAAGCAGAAATGAAGAAATAAAAAAGATGTATTAGGTGATTTAGTCTATTCAGCCTACCCCAGGTCGATGCTAGACTGCTCTCTACATGAATTTTCTCTGCTTTTACTTTTCTAGATAAGAGATGTTCAAGTTGAAAATGTGAATGAACGTCCAGCTGCTAAAAACATCTTCAAAGGAAAAAGCACAGAGAAGATCATCGGGAAACAATACCTGGAAGCTTTACAGAGGCCCATAGTTCTTGAGTTAGTCCGTGGAAAAGTAAGACCCTGTCTTTTAAAATTCAATCCCTGAGGAAACCTGAGACAAATCTTTTCTTACAGGCTTGGAGAATTTACCAACTCACTATCCTTCCCAGTGTTCTTAATAAGCCACTGTGTCCTATCTTTCTGTACAAAACACAAGAGTTCAGAACAGACTGTAATTTACCTGTACAAGGTGCCCTTCCAGCCCAAGACTCTTGCGCATTGAGAACACCATACAGCATCAAAGTAAATAGCAGATTGGCCACAAACATATGGGTACACATGCAGATATATGCACAATTGCAATGTAAGATTTGTGCTGTTGATTTCAGTGAGGCCAGGATTTTATCCAAGGTCTGAAGGCAGAAAATGAGATACAGTTTGTCATGAGGGAGATTATACCAAGTTTGTGAGGAACAATGTTAATCACTTTAAACCCTTAGCAAATACTTGAGCATGACTGCTTTTCCCACCTCTCTGGCTTGCTTATTTGCTTCAGTTTCAGTGGTCCCAAGTTAATGAACTTGATACTGAAACAGCCTTTCATGTTGTTCCTCTACTGGGAACTGTCTTCAAAAATTCGAATAGAAGGGACAGTGAGCAGGTGTGTCTCAGCCTGTGACTGGGTTTTACAGTTTGCTCTGAGAGAGGAACGAAGCACTGTCCCATTGCAGGAGCACCCATGCCCAACTGTAGCTCTCAGAGTCCCAGTCTCGCTCAGGAAGGGAATCCTGTAAATCCGTCTCCCCTCTTTTTCCCTGAGGAGCTGCTTACTTGCCCCCTTGTGCTCAGCCTACTGCTCTGGCCAGAGAGCGGCAAGGCTTGCGCCATGCCCCTGCCTCCTCTCCACTCTTCCTCACCCTCTTGTTGCTTGTGGCCGGGAACATTAGGCCAAGAGCTTTGCTTTCCCCTCCGTAGCCCGAGCAAGTGGGCAGGTGGGATGTGGGCAGAGGGGCAGTGAGAAAGGAGGAAGGTTGAAGGTCACACTCCCTTTTCTCTTCTGCAGAGCGGAGCGAGGCTGTGACACTCTATCCCGGCAGGATCTTTCCCTCCCGCTGTAAATAGGCACCGAGCACATACCCTGGCCGCCAGCTCAGCCTACTGAATTGCAGCTGCTATCAGGCCTGCTCAGTAACTGTCAGACTTAGCCTTGTCATCAGTTTTACACAACATAAAAAGAAACAGGACAGCACTGGCTCCCAACTGTACACATCCCTAAATGAGGATAGAGGTATCAGAAGAACACAGTCAAAATACATCTGCTCCAAATACATTAAGCAGTTCACACGCTAAGATTGAGATGTAGTATTAAAAACTTGGGCTTTTTCTCAGGTAACGGGGTCCATACACTCCTTTTATGATTTCTCTGTGGTGTGATACTTTCATCCCTGGCACAGTGATTTCACTTTCCACAGTTGCCCCGAGATAACGTGCTGATTGTACTTACGGTTCCTGAAAAAGTGCACTTTTAAAGCACCATGAATGCAAAGTGGAGGTGCAAAGTCTTGTTACCAGAGGAGAGGCTTAAGCACAACTGTTGACCCATGAAGTGCAAAGGTTGTGATGTGTTCGACACGTCATTTAAGTCATTCTAACAGTGATTTACCTATGATTCATTCTGGGTTTTTGTAACCTGTGATTGAAGTGCAACAGATATTGTGCCCCTGTGGGGAGGGATTATTTGAGGATTATGCAGAAAAACGAGTAACTTGTGAAATTTTGTAAAGTTTCTCATTTCCCTTCTAAATTCTCTCTAATTAACAGGAGGAAAGATGCTCACTGCATTGAAACTGTACAGCTGAAGCCTGAAACATGTTTATACTGTTATTGTCAGGTGCTGCAGCCCCTGGACTTTGCTTACATAAGGGCAACAGCTCCAAATTCAGCTTCCCAATCAGAAACAAGTAAAGCGCAGTTTTATCTAGAGAGGATCCTCAATATTCCTTTCTCATTCAACCAGATTTGTTATATACTTGTTTTTTTTTACAGGTCAAAACCTTCTACTCGTATCAAAATGAACCTGGTTTTACTCAAAATATTAAGAGAGGTCTGGCTAGCCTTTTCCAGCTACAGCTGCACTCTGGTGCTGCCCGTGAGGTATGATGCTATATCTGGCAAGATAATTGGCAGAGAAAGAGGCAGAGCCTGGTCTGCTCTGACCTGTGGCTCCCACTGACTTCAGAAGGAATGACCAGTGACCAAAATCAGGCCTTTGATCGCATTTGAGGTCAGGGACGTAAAGACAGTCTTCTGAATATCTGGTGACATAAGTCAAGTTGCTGCAGTTAATGTAAAGAATGGGTGAAATACATTTATTTTAAAATGCTTTTATCAATTTAGCAGAATTTGGTAATAAACCAACTTAAACTAGGTCACTATTAAAGAGATTATACTGATGTTTGAAGTTGGTTAATTCCTAAGATCAATTCAATTGATTAGGCCATTTTAAATCAAACAGAGTATCCACACAAAGTTAGCAATGGTTTACCTGGATTACAGTGTTAAATTTCTACGTCTGTCCACATGAGCAAAGCTGGAGTTTAACTTGAATTCATGAGTATAGTGCAAACTGCCAAGTGTTTCTAAATTTTTTTGTTTAAACATTGTTGCTTTCCTTCATAGCCAGCTAATGAAGTGTATCCCTGCCTATCCAAAGCAGGTAGTTAGAAACACTGATACCTTCAAAACTGGTAAATAAACCCAAACAGTGCAGCATCTCAGGTACAGGATTCCAACAGTGGAGAAAATGGTTTGTCTGTGGAAGGTGTTCTGGAGTCCCAAAGATAAATTCAAGAAATTGACCTAATTAACTCTTTTTTTCAAGGTGGACATATCTGGGAAATGCAATACTACTTACCACGTGCGGCAAGATCAAGTGACTAAAGTAAAAGCCCTGGACTCCTGTGAAATAGAAAAACAAGGATTTACCAGCAACAACCGGGTATGATTTCTTTAACAAAATAAAATCTGTTCTGCCTATTTAAAATATATTCTTAGCAGCTATTGCTCATTTCTCAAAAGTCCTTTCTTGCATGACAGAATGCAAATTCTACGTGTACATTTTGTAGTATTACTAGTACACATTTCATATGTAGTACCCATGGGTAGAATAGGCAATGGATTTGCCTCTTGTGTAAACCACCTTGGCTCAGCTGACATAGAGTACAGCACACCGATTTCAATAATTTTTAGATCTCGTCCATAACATATTTTAGTTTCTATGCAGATTTACAGCACTTTTTTCCTGACTGTACTGAAGTTTTCATTGATGTGAGGCTTCTTTTTTCTTTTGAAGAAAATATTATATACAGTCACAGTCATAGTGACAACAGTAACCTTTTTCCCAGCTGCTAAGCCACAGCATTTAGTGTACGCAATAAATGCCAGGCAAGCTGCTGACTCCCGAATGGAGCCTGGTCAGGCTTGCCTGGAAGGTCAAAGGCTTCCCTAATGCACAGGTATAACGTAGGTGATGTGCTGTAGAGGTAACTGAAGCCCTACTATGGCCTTAGTGGTCTGCTCCACTACTAGTAAAAGCCTTTCTAAGACGTTACTACTGAGTGCAGGCTGGACACATGCTGAAGGCACTGGGATTCTCTGCCTCAGTAACTGACCTTCTCAGCTCAGAGAAGTACAAAGGTAGCACACGCTCTGTTAATAAACCACCTTAACACTATGACTGAATTCCTGATTTTCACACTTGCCACAAAGACTTTGTCTTGTTCACAAACAGATCAGGCAAGGTGTCTGGCTTTGCTTCCTGGGTGTGAACAGGGTAATCTTATTTACAAAAAACATTCCCCTGGAAAAGCTTCTCATCTTATTTAAAATATATTTTTAACTAAGTGTGGTATTTTCTCAGTTGCAGCCTGCTCCATAACTTCCTTCCCTCCATCCCCTTTTTTTTCATAGAATCCCCTGATACATATTGAATTTGAAACACATAGTGCAGAACTGAGTGGCTTCTTGTTGCAGAAGGAATTCTTGAGAACCTAGTTTATAGGCTTAGCTTGAGATGTTGTCAACCCACATGAACCTTCCTTATTTGGCTCTATTTCATTATGAGTTTTGCCTTGATTTGGAGCTGTGAGCTCTTTTCCTATTCTGTTGTTTATTTATCAGCCCTTTTTTCTGGTTCATTTTTTAATTATTTTCAGATTTTAGATGTGAATACAAAAGCCACATCTGCCACAATTTATGTGCTGGAAGACAGTTTCATTAAATCCGTTAAGGCAGAAGAAAATTATGTTTTGCTTCTGAATTCCCGACGAAAAACAGGTGCCAAAATAATTTCAAAGTAAGTTGGGCAATTTGACTGTCATTGGTGATAGTAGGACTACTGATTCAAGTCAGGTTATATGTGTATGTCTTACAGCATCAAAATCTAAGGCTGTAAACTCTCCAGGTAAGGATTTAGTTCTCTTTTGTATCCTTATGGTACCTCGTCCAACTTTGATTAAGGGCTCTACCATACTGCAAATAATAAATAATGGCATTCATAAGAAATTAAATGAAAACAGCTGGAACTGGCCAAAACATTTTAAGCAACACATTATTTCTGTAGGTGTTCTGTTTCTGTGTCCCCTCATTTCTTAAGAAATACTTCCAATGGATCTCCATTTCTAGTATGTGAAAGTTCAGAAGTATAGAAAACAAAATCTGCTGCATAGAAAGGAAACAACAGTGAAACCTAGATCAGTGTTAGACTCCAGACTCTAAAATACTGAAAGTTTGGAGATACTCATACAAGATAAATGATTCAGGCATCTCCATATTATGATATTAAAAAAAAAGTACATTCAAAATCTCACTTTCCAGATCGTCTTATGAACAAATATATGAAACATATCAGAATGTATATGGTTACTGAAGGCTGTTTACCAGGTGCTATAAATCCATACTTTAGAAAGTCTATTATTTAGGTATTTTATGCCACATACCTCCAGCAGTAATTTTGCTGGTATCAGATACTTCTGTTACCTTAAAAAAGCCATAGACTTGCAATGTTCTTAACATTTTAAAATAAGACTTCAGTAAGTCTGTGTTCTATATTTTTGGTCTGTGGAGGGGTTTTTTGTTTCCTCCTGCCGTGATTTCTGCATTTCTTCTCTAATGGTTGAGCTCTAACAGTGTCTTCACTCTATGGATACACAGGCAGAGACTGGAACTGAAGTCAATACAAGCTGGCCCTGGACTGATCGCGGGGAAGCAAGTCGCCAGTGTTATCAAGACCTTGGACTCCAATTACATTGCTGTGCCACTAGTAGCAGAGCAAGTCAAATCCAAATGCAAAACGTGTCCTTCAGTAAGTAAACACAGGCCCGTTGGACGTCAGGTCAGTTAGCTGAGCAGAACAAGCATGAAAGAAGTTTCTGTCCAAGCAGCCCACTAAGGAGAGGTCTAACGTAACAATACAAAATACACCCTGGAGTGGGGAGCATGGCAGTGATGCAATGGTGCTCCACCACACAAGGGTGTTTTAAGATCTACCTCTAAAAGTACCAACTTTTTACTCTCTTTCAAAGATTGAGTGCAGTCTTTCTCAAGACCACTAGAAAATACAACACTCTCTTGTTTTCTCTCATCTTTGCCAACCTTGAGTTGACAGAGCTTATTTCCTCTGGGTAATGGAGTGGGAAATGACTTTTAAGATGGTTGGCCAATGTTTATAAACAATTCTGTCATGGAGGAGCTGAACTGCTCCTAGAAATTAAAGGCAGTTAGCCATTCCTTAGGCAGACTAAACATTTGTTGGTAATATACCTGGCCTTTTCTTACTGCCTGACCCTGAAGAAAGTATTTTATTTAAAAAACTTCATAGATATTTTGTAAGTATAAAATGGGGCCTTAGTGTTCATGGCAAGTCCAATAGTGTTCTTATTTTTCCCCTGGAAAAAAAAAACAAAAACACCTTGTTTTTTTATATTTAAGACACCTAAAGACTACTAAAAGCTTGGTACTGTAAATGCATCATCTTTTGTTTTACTGATGCTATTCATCATAAACTAATATAAATTGCTACAGTGATTGTTAGAAAACAGTTTTAATACTATTACCATTGTGGAATTAATTTAGCAGTGATTATGAACATGAATTTAATGATTATTCTCTGGTTTTGATACGCAAGATAAGGCTTCTATGCAGCACACATCATTTTAATCCTCCAGAGATACTCCTTATGAGCACAAATTCCTTACTATATTGGAACTTGTGCTAGTTCTTTGGAAGTAGCATTGCACTGTAATAATTTATCTTGTCTAATGCTTGTTGAGCCACAGAAAAGACAAAAAATGTGTTGGGGGAAATGAAATGGAAATGATGCTGCATGTATGCTGGAGTAGTTCTGAGCAGGGAACATTAAGAGATCTTAAACAAAGCAGGGACAGGTGCTTTTGACCTGACTCTGCCCATCAGGGTTTGTGCTGACCAATTTGTCACTTGGAACCGAGTTTGTCATAATAGTTATAGAGATAATTTCCAGACCAAGATAACAAACACAGGGTATAATTCCAGAGCACTGCCTGGGGACTGAGCTATGTCATTATAAACCTAATGGCATGATGAGAATGAAGTCCTGCTTTCTCACTGTATTTTACAGTAACTGCTATGAAAAGATGGAGTCTATAAACAGAACACTGTATCCGAAGCAGCAACATAACATTTGGTACTTATATATCATAGTATACATTAATGCCATGCTGACATAGTATGCCCTACAGTTTTATGTTTTCAAAACCCTTTTTAAATCATAACAGATCTTATCTCTATCTTTATGAATTTGATAAAATAACCATCACTATCCCCAATTCACAGATGGCAGCACTAGCTTCTGTGAGGCTATGGCCAACATTTACGTTTATATTTAGGCCTAGATTTCTGTGTTTAGACATCATAAAGCACGGTCTTTTCAGAAGAGCTCATGGTTCTTACATTTTGTTTATGCTGATGGTTCCTACAGGAACGGATGCTTGCCCCTTCTGAAATTCAGGTGGGTTTTTGTGTCTTGTGCAGCCAACCTTTGTAGGTTGGTAAAGCAGCTGTCAGGCAGTGACTTTCAAAACCAACTCCTGCTCAGTTCAGGACCTCTTGGTTTGGCTTGAATTTTCCTAGAATGCCTACAAGACCTCTGATCTCTTTGTCAGAGAGAGATTTGTGTCCAGGCTTGACTGAGTTGCCATGTGGAAGTGTGTGCATCTGTCCCTGAATCCTTGGGGTATTCAATCCAAACTGCCTGACATTCACATAAGGAGAACAAGGCCCCTCATAAAAGTCAATTGTGAAGGCTGGTTTTTTAAGTCCTGGTCGCTGCAGGGGATGGCAGCTGCTCCTTGTACCAGTTGAATCGTTAGAGCACCCCCGCAAAGAGGAAGACTTGGTCTCCCCTCTTTTGCTTGAGATGGCTCCAGCTTGCATATTCCATCTTGCTGGTCTCTAGCATATGAGCTAAGCTGACCAAGAGCAGCCCACACAGCTGGGCTCTGCACAGATGAAAATATAGGATTAATGAGGTTAGAGATTTTTTTGCTGGGCTATGGTGCAACATCAACAGGGGGAATAGAAAGTGCCCCACATGTTTATCCAATTTCAGCTTATAATAGCCACACTGACCTTGGTGCTAAGTGCTAATCACCAGTTGAGTTTAACAGACCCATCTGTGCCTCAGAACACAAGCTCCTCCCAGCTGGTCATTAATCCTCAGGAAATATCCTATGTCTCAATCATTGTTGCCTAATTATTGTTTGTTACAGTTGATGGAAGTTGCACTCTGTACTTCTGAATAATACTTCTATTTGCTGGCAGGTTCAAGTGTTATTGCCTAATACAAAACCCATGAAGAGGGGAAGTATTTTAGTAAGGGTCAGATGGGTGCTAGTGTTATTTCCCTCTTGGGAAAACTGCAGTAAACACTGCTGCAAAGAACAGCTGAGTTTTCACCAAGGAATGTTCTCGATAATTTGAGATAACAGAGGCAAAGGCAAGTGAGAGAGGAAAGGTCAAAATACCTGCACCAGTTTCTTCTGGGAGTGTTGCTGGAAGGATAGATACAGGTGCTTTGGTACCATGTTGGCTCATTCAGGTCAAAAATATGGTGTGTGGAATACATACAGCAACAACGTATGAAGAAGCCAATACCTGTTCTAATACCATCTTACCTATCATTTTGTACAATAACCACAAATCCATCCCCATCTTATGCAGGTTTATGAATAAGAAATGGGAATTAATTATGGGACATTTACTCCTGTTCCACACTAACCACTTACAAAATTACCTCCTGCTAAGAAAACATGATTAATTTTTGAATTGGGGATTGTGCATCTCCCACTTTAAAGAAACTAACTTAGAAGAAAATGGGAACAGAAGGCAAACACTCTATTCACCAGAAAGCACAGTAAATTTGCAAAAGAAGAGAATTCACCTTATTCCAGTTACAGTATAAATAATCATGTTTTGTTCCAAAATAGATTGCATTTAAGGCAATGTACATTATCAGGAAAATACTAAGTGTTGGAAGAGAGACAGCTATAGAAAGGTTCCAAAGATTTTTGTGATGGGAAATCATAAATTAAATACTACTTAGCTAAAGGGTCAGCAATCTATTGGATTTCAGCTAATTTGAGCAATAGCTGGCCCACATATCTGCATTTAGTAAGTCTGATTTTGAGAAATGAAACCACAATCTGAGAGATTTGACATAATGTGAATTATTTTTCAGCTTTCTGAACACTGGCAGAGCATCAGAGAACATATGTATCCTGAAAAACTTTCCAAAGCTGAAGCAGCAAGAAGCTTTTTGTTCTTCATTCAGAACATCAGAAAAGCTACGAAAGATGAGATACTGCAGATTATTAGAAGTGAAAATAAAGAACTTCTGTAAGTCATCATGAACAAGCTTTCAAAAGGTTTAAGTTTCTTAAAATTGCAGAAGAGCAAATTGCATGCAAACAGATTCATGGTTTGCATGTTGCTAGGACTGGTGATGTCCTAGCAATGCAAAAACAGTATATACAGGAAAAGGATTTTTTTTTTTTTAATAGCTGTGTTTGTTCTTGGAGTATAATATATTTGCAGCACACTGTTCAGCCACCAAGACTGTATCTACAATGCAAGGCAAACATGCTTTGTAGCTTACCCAAAGGTTCTCAATCCGACTATTTGCTCTGAAACACTCTATAACGTGTTCTTGGCTTGTCCATTTGTTTCCTTCAAATGGAAATACAGTAAAGGGGATGGTTCATGCCTGGATATTGTCCTGATATTAGATTTTGGGTGTGAACAGCATGTGCACCTAGACTTCGGAGTTAGAAAACATTTCCGAGTTCCACCATACAGTCAGGATCTTGCAAACAAGTTATAGCAGTTATTAACAAGAGTAACTCAGGTAGTGTAGAAGCCTATTCTCTAGTTGCCATTGTTTATGTGGAAATAAAACACTTTTTTCCATTTACAACCTTGTCCTGTAACCTTTAAGACACTCTGGATAGTTCTGTTTTTTCAATACGTTTTTGTCCCATATTTGCATAAATTCAAATATTATTATCCATGGATATGAATAATTTCTGGAGTTCATCTACCATTTTGAGGTGGAAGAATTCAGGGACTTTTCAGTCCCTGAAAAAATTAATTTTTTTCCAATAAGAGTAAAAAATTCTGCCTCTTACCTGCAATGAAGAGATCTTTTAGCTTCTTTCTATATGCAGCAAAGTCTTTTCATCATTTTCTAGCTCATTACAATGTTATGGTCATTCCCACATCTTTGTAGTCCACAGATAGTGGATGCCGTAACCTCCGCTCAGACCCCAGCATCACTGGAGGCCATAATGGAGTTTCTTGACTTTAAGGATGCAAGCACTTCTACCCTGCAGGAGCGATTCCTGTATGCCTGTGGATTTGCTTCTCACCCCAATGAAATGCTCCTGAAATCTTTAACTGTAAGTCAAAGGACAAAACAAATACAATGGAGTTAATACCCTTGAGCCTCATCCCTGTCAAAGCAGAAGGGAAGAAGAAATGACTGTTGCTGTTTCCAGTTTTCTTTTCTTTATCCCTTCCAGGGGTTCCTTTAAGTGTGCCAGTAGCATATAGCCTGGAAACAACAAAAATTCATAGGTCCAGATTGAAAGCCTACTTACTTTGTAAAACGTTATCAGTATCTACTACTTGGAAAACAAACATAATTCTGATTGTTAGCAAAACAATTAGAGGATTGTTTGACTGTTGCCTTATCAAAGTCCTGTAACCATTTAATACTCTCTATTTTTTTAAACATAGCTTCAAAATGAATCTACTATTTGAGACACTGAATGTAACTCAAGGGAAAAATGGCAACCAGTTATTATGTGTAACGCTAGAGCAGTGCTCTGCTTAGCCTGAGCCCAGGCAATTGCGGTCATCACTACCTTTGCATTGCACTAATGTTTGCAGGAAATGAGGGAGTGTATTCAGCCCATTATAGACTGTGGTTCATCATATTTACACAAAGAGACTAACAGCATTACTTTTGCATAACAGGCTACGTTCAAGGGTGATATCGCAAATGAAGAAATAAGAGAAACTCTTGTCATTGTCATGGGAGCGCTCATCAGAAAGCTGTGTGACAGAGAAAGCTGCAAGCTTCCAGTGAGTATCTGCTGTTCACTGCTGGCCAAATTCTGGTCTGCAACACACATGAATGATCCCTGCTCATGTTACTGGGAGAGCATAAGGGACACGGGAACCATATTCCCCCCTGTTTTAAAATAAACCCATAAACTCCTATATTTGATAGAGACAGGATTTTTTGATTTTTTTTTTAATAATGACATCTACTTTGTCAGCTTTATGCTTTAATTTGGTCTCCTCCTATTTCTGTGGATTTCTCCCAGTTTGCCCTTGTTTGACAGAACTTCTTCTCACTGCCTAGTCTGTCAGCAGAAGAAGTACTTGTACTCCCTTGTCCAAAGCTTTACATGTCCTCAGAGAAACACTGGCAAACTCAGGACCTATTTAATATTTGCAGTCACCTTAGGTTATTTCAGCTCTGTGAAGAACATTCATTGGTTCAAGTACTCAATTCTGCCCCAAACGTGAATAGAACAACCCAGAAGGAAGACTATCACCTAGACCATGGACTGAGTAGATGCTGGTGATAGAGGACGAGGATGATCGGACAAGGCATTGCTGCCTGTTGGATCTGTGCTGTTCAGGATTGCAGCACACTGCTGAAAAGACACAGAACACCTGAAGGCCCTTAGGAATCCCTTTTTCCTTCCCCTCTTAATTGCCAAGCACTCTTAAAACATTATGTTATGAAGTACTAAAGAACACTTGTCTTTTTTTGTGGGGACATGTTGGCCCCTCAAGTAAGACCTGTGAGGTCCCTGAATCAGGGCAGGAGCAGCTAGCAAATGATAAATCTATGGACCAGGTGTCACTGTGTGTATAGCCACTTTGGTTATGCTTGAAGGAAGCCACTGACATACAGATGACAAATGACACCTTTGCTAACCCTGTGCAATGATGCTTTGAAACAAACACATGCTTTTTTGGGTTTTTTCTTAGAACCCAGCCCTGCCCCTCCTACTTCTGCAAGGGAAAAAGTTAGGTTTATGACAACCATTTAAACATGCTGTTGATTTTCTTCAGGCTGTTGTGGAAGCCAAAAGGCTGATTCTAAGTAGACTGGAGAAGGCTAAGAAAGATGACAATGTGAGGATGTACCTGCTGGCACTGAAGAATGCACTCCTTCCCGAAGCGATTCCACTACTTCTAAAGTACGCCGAGTCAGAAGAAGGGCCCATCAGCAATGTTGCTGCCACTGCCTTACAGAGATATGATCCTTCTCTTCTCACCAAAGAGGTAAGAAAATATACTGCCCAAGAAAAGAAGTGCAAGAGACTGTATTAAACATAAAGTATAAATTAACAGAGTTCATTTGTCAGTCCCACTCTTTTTAAAAGATCACAGAATCACAGAATGGTAGGTGTTGGA